GAGGAGGAAAAGAGAGGAGACAAAAAACATTACAGCTGTAACTAAAAGCAAATCAATTAAATGCACTGATATTTAAAACTAATATAATGAGGAGAGAATTTAGGTCAAGTCTGAGAAAAGATTATTACAGCAAATGCCTCCAGTAAGTGAATAGAAAAAAAAGAAGAAATGAAGGAGGAATATTGAAAATGCCACTTTTTAATATTCTAAATGTCCTTGCATTTGTAGGTCTGCAGGTTCTCATGGCTGGACCAGGCCATCCTTATTTAACTCTGAGGCTCATCTAAAATTTCATCAGGCTCAAGGTAAGCAGGAGTGTCAGACTCTGGACCTTATTTAGTTTGTAACACTATAATAGATACTTTCTTGGAAAGAAAGGGAAAAAACACTTTATTTGTTTTTTGTTTTTAAATGATACTAAGTCTTTAGGAGAAAGGCCTACAAGCCAAATAGTTTTGTTGTAACATTTTTAAGGTGATGTTTAAAAAAAAAATTCTATCTTGTGGAAGGAGTTGTATGCTAAATTTAAGCCTCAGCTGTGAAATCTGGGAATTAAAGGTACCAGGCACCCAGGCTTTTAAAGAACAGTTATTTTTTCCTCATTGTGAAAGTTGAAAAAGATTGTACATGTTCTGAGCAAAGTCTTGATTCCACTGAACTGAATGGCAATTATACTATCCACTTTAACTTAGTGTCTGGGGTTGGTTCTCATTTGGGGTGCATTTTGGGGTGCCTGCCATCCCCAGACCCTGCTGAGCTGGGTTCTCTTGCTGTGCTTGGTTCATACTGGGGCCATCAAGAGGCTTTTGCAGACTTATCTAGTTCTTTGAGAGTTGTTTTGCTTTGCCTTTCAGCTTGTTTTGCTTGGAAGCTTATGTTTTAACAGGCATTTTCATTCTTCTATCACTGTTGTCTGCGCGCACGCGCACGCACTCTCTCTCTCTCTCTCTCTCTAAAGGCTTTTATGTGATAGCACTTCACTCTGGCAATTCTCTACTTACAGGATTACCAGGGCTTTTCTTTTGTCCTCATACCTCCCCCTTTCTGAAACCTCCCCTTCCCCTCGGTTTCATGCACTAACAAGATGCTTGAGGTCGTTCATTCCTTTTGTTCCCTGCAACCATTTTTTGCTTGACTTCAGTTTGCCTGATCCTGCTGGATCCTCCAGCCTCTCTGGAACCTCAGATATTATTTGCAAATGAAATGCACCTGACGAAGTTATTCCCTCATATGTTAGTAGCATTTCCCCTACTATCCCTTGCAGGCTGAAGGCACCCCCGTGTCCCAAAACAGGCTCACTGAAGTGTGCCTGTTTCCAACTAAGTAGAGAAGAATGAGCCCCCATCCTCTGCCGTGTCTAGGAGCAGCTGTGATGGACATCTGGGGGGATGAAGTTGACCTGGCTTTGGGAGAACGAGGCGGTTGCCCGTGAGCTCCCCTTACTCTAACTCGGCGGCCCCCCCCCCGTCCCCGTCCCTCGGGAGGGCGCCGAGCTGCGGCTCTCGTCCCCTCGCCCGGAGCTGCCGTCGGGGCGGCGGCGGTACCTTGACTAGCAGGTCGGCGGCGCGGGGCCGCTTGTAGCGCAGCAGGAGGCCGAGGCCGATGGGCAGCAGGGTGCTGCCCAGGGTCAGGCTGACGGCGCCCAGCGGCAGCAGCTGCACGAGCGGCGCGCGGATCCAGGCGCGGCTCAAGAGCCAGAGGCAGAGCGGCATCAGCACCAGGGCCAGCAGCGTGGACGAGGCGGTCATGACGACGCTGCGCGGGGACAGGCGCGGTCAGCGCGGGCAGGGGCACCCCGGCCCCAGCCCCC